CTTCATTCCTGATCCTACTGCTGTTGATGACAGTGCAGATCGCGTCAAGAAGATTCTTGATGCGAAATATGAACAAGCTGACTTAAGGCAGGTTTGGCAAAGTCAAGATCAGTTAAAAGGAAGAGAAGTAACATCTTCATTCCTTACTGACAAAGTACTCGGACCTATTCGATGGTACTTTGGGAAATGGGCAGATGGACGACTACGAAGTAGAACTCTCCCTGATGCTAAACCCTATCATGCCAGGGCTTATCCTATTCAACGGGTCCATACCAACAAGCTTAAGATGGAGGTTGAAAGTCTCTGGGCGAGGCAGAAGTACTCAAGAAGGTGAAGCGTTCAGAGGGGCCGGCACCAACTTTTTATCATTCCCAAGAAAGCTGGATCTTTACGATTCATCTCTGATTCCGGGAACTGAACAAAAAGATCAAGCGGAAGCCTTACCCTATCCCAAAAATACAGGGCATGCTCTTGAAGCTAGATGGATTCAAGTACGCTACTAGTCTAGACCGAAACATGGGATACTATCAAATCGAGCTGTCAACTCACTCAAAGCAACTCTGTTACAATGACTCCCGTGGGGAAAGTACGAGTACCAGAAGTTGCCAATGGGCCTATGTAATAGTCCGACATCTTCCAATGAGAAGATTGGGAACACTAAGAGCAGCGACCTAGAAATGTCCGTTCATACATTTATGATCTACTTATCCTAACTAACGGTGATCTTGCAGATCACGTTGAAAAGTTGGATGAAGTCCTCCGAAGGCTTCGAGAAGCCGGACTTAAGATCAATGCTACCAAGTCCTTATTCGAAAGAGGAGAACTTTAATACTTAGGTTACTGGATTACTCGAGAAGGGACCAACCTAATAACCATAGAAAATAGACGCGATCTAGAATATCGCTCCTCCTAACCAACAGAAAAGAACTCCGTAGATTCATTGAACTAGTGAACTACTATCGAGCAATGTGGATTAGACGATCACATGTACTGGCCCCACTCGTTTCGTTGACTTCCAAAACAAAAAAGTGAAGAGAGAGAAGCCGAACAGAACAAGCCTTAGCCAGATGAACAAAGATCACAGCAAAGAAACCTGCTCGCTTACCCCTGCTTTCAACGAATACATTCGTTATCCACGTGAACGAGTGATACTCAACTATGTGCAGTAATTTCGCCAGAAGGGAAAACCTACGCGTTCTACAGCAGGAAGCTCAACCCCTGCTCAGACACGTTAAACAGTTAACGAGAAGGAACTTCTCAGATCGTAGAAACTCTTAAAAGAGTTCCGTAAAATTCTTCTGGGACAGAAGATTGTTGTGCATACGGACCACCAGAATCTTACATGTAAGAAATTCAATACCGATCGCGTAATGCGTATGGCGCCTTATTCTTGAAAGAATACGGCCCTTGAACTACGGTACATCAGGGGCGAACAGAACGATCGTCGCTGTGCGTGTGTCGGACTTAACATCTCCAAACACTTGACTGGTTCTTCAGAACAAAACGGAAGCCAGCGAGATCATAAGCTCATGGCTGCAGAACAAAGAGGACTTCCCTAGCGAATGTCACCCTCTCTCGTTCCCGCGAGATTGAACATCGTCAGGAGAGACGACAACGATATCAAGGAACTCCTCAGGGACAACCAAACGACTACAAGAATAGCAATCTTTCCCAGAGGGGATTAAGTCTTACGACTAGAGTTAAGGACGATTAAAATCGTCGCTACCCTAGAACTATGCAGAAGATAGCTAGTCGAATGGTACTATGTGTGTGCTGATGCTATCCTGGGCGAGCCTACGCACAGAACTTAACCATCATCCACAACTACACCTGGAAAGGACTGCGCAGACTGTGCAGGCCGTATGTCAGCGGTTGCCAAAGACTGCAGATGAACAAACCCAAGACGCGTAAGCTGGGATTGATGCCTCCAAAGACTTGCGAGGAGATCCCTTGGGAAAGACTATGTATTGACCTGATAGGTCCCTACAACGTCGGGATCCTAAGAAAAAGAATCGAATTCCTGTACACTTCATTGCTTGACAATGATTGATCCCGTAACCGGATGGTTCGAGATTGCAGAGATCTGCTCCAAGGCAGCAGACGAAGTAGCCATCATCCTAGAACAAACGTGGCTTACTCGGTATCCATGGCTGGCTGAGGTTATCATGGATAGTAGAGGACGTGAGTTCCGCGCAGAGGTCGAGAAGACTCTCTGGGATGAATATGGACTTCGTCGCAAGTTCATCACCACGCGCAACCCTCAAGCCAACTCCATGGTCGAGCGTGCTCATCAGACCATACGCAACTTGATCGCTGTTCAAAACATCAAGTGCCAAGACGACCTCGTGAACGGATCCTGGGATGGAGTCCTCACGGCGGTTCGCTTCGCAATGAACGCCACAATTCATACCACCTTGCGTGCAACGCCTGCACAGCTCGTGTTCAACCGTGACGCGATTCACAACGTCCGTTTCGAAGTAAACTGGAAACACATCAAAGAGCGTCGCCAATGACTCATCTAGAAAAACAATGATAAGGAAAACGCGATGCGTGTCCCTCATCAATACAATGTCAATGATACTGTGAGGTTTCAACAGTATCAGCACCGCAAGTACGGTCAGCCCAAGTACAAGGTCCTTACAATATAGACCGAGTCAATAACAATGGCACTGTACGGCTCCGACATGCTACCACCAATAGCGGCACAGTCTACCAGACTTGGAACATAAGGTATATACACCCATACAAGGCCTGATCCCCTTGTAGGATTGCCATCGTGCGACGCACATGTCTACATCCAATCTCCGGAGAGTGCCCCGCACTTTAATTCATATGTTCTCCTTGTCCGACTGATGTCGTGCCTTCTGTGACCCTTGTCAGGGGGTGAATGCAATACACGGCTCTTAGCCTTGTTCGCGACTCGATCCTAGATAGGGTTTGAGTTCGACTCATGACGTAGTCCTTCGCGAATAGTCATTGAGACAGGGTTCTCATGACTGCTAGTCATACTAGGTTGTCGTTGAAACATCGCTCTAGATATTTAGCCAGCGTGGAAAGCTTCCACGCTACTAGACAGCTACTAGCTGAAGTTTCCACGTGTTCCGGAAATGGACCGTGGAGTACGTAGAGTTATTGCCATAACCTACGATATCACACTTCGAGGCCTCCCGCGGGAGACCAACTTCAATGAGCTTCACAACGATCTCTCTCATGGATTAGTTTTCGTAGCTTTCTAATCTCTCTCATAACTTTCATTCTCTCAAACTCAAAACACTCGAAAGATCTTTACACTAGCTTTTAGCGTAGTGCATTTGGCAAGAAGTGTCGCGAGGTTGTGTCGTAACAAGTCATGGTCACCGGGGAGTAGGTGGTGGGTGCCTTTGGTATATTCAGTGACAATTTCTTGATCAAGAAGGAGTTTAGCTCTTTGGTGGCGTGGCCGGATTGTCTTATGCTTGATGTCATTGCGGTGTTTCCATATATTGTACCCCAGGTGGTGAAGTTTGATGAGGAGACCATGGATCCATCGACAATTTATCATCGTATAGCATGTTGGGAGTAGTAGTCATGTTGGTGGCGGCGCCATAGTTGCGTGGGGAGGCCTTCGAGGAGATTTTTCCAGCCGATGAGATGTTGTCGCTGCACCAGGTCCCTGGTGGAGGGATGGTAGGATTGAGGTGAAATGGATTGAAGATTGCGCCAGCGTGTCAAGCAGTCAATCAGGAGGGTGGAGAGACGAGGGTCTTTCTTGTTGTTGTCTAGGTATGACTGAAGCTGTTGGATTCCTTTCGTCCAGATCTCATTGGTGCCTTCACTCCGGCATCGGAAGACGTGTGATGTAGTCTCCAGTTCACCACAACGTGGACATTGGGCATCTTGTTGGTGGTATCCCATTCCATCAATGTGGTTCCAACACCACAATTTGCAGAAGCAGATTTCAGGGCCCATTTCTGTTTGCTGGGGGGAAGTTTCGATGTGGCATCGGCTGAGCTAGACCAATCGAGTTCAGAGGAGAGTTGAGGAGGGATGTCATTGTGGCGGATCCACCAATTCTGGGAAATAGGGTCCTGGATGATACTGTATAGATGGTTGACTGATGGGTTGATTACCTTTTGGTCGCCCTGCCAGAGTTGCCATCCTTCTCCATGGATTGGAAGGGAATCAGGTTCAAATGATTGGGTGGTGCTATTGTGTACAAAGATGTGCCGCCAGTATTGTTTGGCTTTTGTGTCCATTTCGATGTTGAGCTTGGCAGCTCGCGAGAGGGAGGAACGAGCTTGGTTGTCTTGGTGGCCTTTCACATGAAAAGCGTCCCAGAAGATGGGAGATTCATCAAAAGCCTCTAAGTAATTTCGACACGAAGGGAACTCGCACGCCGGTCGACTATGGTATAACGAACCATTTCAATGGTATTCTTTACAACGCTCACAATTTCGAAGTGCTCTAATGACTGGCGCGCGATAGCTTATAGTAAATCAGTACTCTAACACGGATCAGCAAATATTTGGGTTCAAACGATTGAAAAAGTGAGATTCCATTGCCTAAAACCAAACAGCAAACTGGTGGTCCACCACGAGATCGATCAACCCACTCAATCGAGCAGTAAGAGAGGTCCATTATCTCGATGCATGCTGCTTGTGAGGGCATATTGCCGTGCATGTTCTTCTTCCTTTGACTATAAGGAAGACAGTAGGCCCTGGTCTTATGCCCGTTGTTCCAGCACACATCGAGATCTAAGGGCTTCTTGCAGCCGAATCGAAAAAATTGACATCCCTTCCGGATGGTCGCCAAAGTCAACAGGTGGAGGAAATATCCCACTAGAACCAGCGATGAACCTGTCGGCAGTACTATTAGCAACAGCTCTTGTACTGTCAACAGGTCGAATGCTGACCCTGGCAGCGATTCCAGCACACCTTTAGCAGCAGATGTCGATCGATCCTGATGTTGTTGTTCTCGGGATAGCACCATGTAAAAGATAGCGTTTTATTGACAGCTTTTGGCTGGCTTACATCCTGGGTTCGACCACCTTATAAAAGATAATTTTTTTCACAATCTCAACCGTTGCGGGGTAAGAAACAACCAGCAACAAGCAACCATGGCATCTTCTTCAACATGGCAAACTTTGTCCTCCAGTACGCATTCGTCGCAAGACATCTCGGACAGCAGGGGTTTCAGTCGGTACCAGCAATTTTGCTGGCGCGCAGACAATGTTGCGGCCGGACCTGTTGTCTTCCATGCAGCTGTCACAGTCTTTGCAAATACAGTCGAAGCAATGTTTGGAGTTGGGATATTCCAACATCTCCACTACGAACAACATTTCAACTTTATCGCCCTCCGGTGAGGAAAGCTACGCTCCTTTGTACACGAAGAGAACACGCAGTTCGTCATGACGGACAAGCATAAACTGGTTCTTGATATCTTGAAGAAAAGCAAGCGTTGATATGCAGATCTGCAGAACACTCTCACAGAGGCCGAATGCTGTGAGTGCTTTAGCCGTGCTGGACTCTACATGAACGAGGAGACCTTTCCCGAAACCACCGTAAACGAGAAGCCCCCCCCCCGCCAAGAAAGGATGGGAACATTTGCGCGACAAACAGACTCAGTGAGGAATATCCACAGGAAATGTTGGAGCTATTCAAATGGGCCATAGCTCAGGGAAAGCCCATGGGCGAGTTCTGAAATACTGAATGTTGTGTGTTCTGGGTTTCTGGCAGCCAGACACAAACCAGGTGCTTTAATATACATGTACCACCGGGCAGACCCCGGTGATTTCTGACCCTGTTTTATATACAGGGCAGATCCCGGTGATCTCTGAGGCCATCTTTTGTGGTGGTGGGCTTTGGTTAGTTATCCTTAGGGTTAGTGTTTCTCTAATGGACTTCAGCCCCCCACGTGGGACCCCATTTTCCGAATTCCTCACACTTTCTC